TCCAAGATATTTATAGGTGTTTACTCTTTCCAGCTCATGGTTGTCAACAGCCAGATTTATATCACCACAATTTGTAAGTTTCCTATGGGAGCCAAAAACTATATATTGAGTTTTTGATAAATTCAACCTGAGATGATTTTGTGTCAGCCATTTATTGACTATCTCAAGCTCCTTATTCAGTACAGATTCAATGTCTTTAATATCTTTCCCATGTTCTGGAAGAACTGGCCAAGATTGATGTCAGCATGGGTCGCGTCCATCAATTGCTTGCTTGGTTCAGATGTCAGTAGTGGTTTTGCCTTCACGCCACGAGCTTACGTTGTCAATTCACTGGGAGGTGAGTTTGTCAGGATTGAACTTGATATATTTAGACATTAGTTTGGTTTCTGGGAGTGTTCTGTCAATTTGGAATGATCCAAGCTCTGAGGTTTTTGTAGCATGGCAGAGAGTGCAAATGAAGTTGGACCCACTGCCCTGTAGCCCCCCCCCCCCCCCCTCCGATGATCGCACAAGCTTCTCGTCTACCATATTGTTATATATGGAGAATCGATGTTGTCTTGTGGTCTCACTGGCATGAATTTTCATGGTCATGTTCTTGAGGATTAGCCGTTCCCTCTCCATCCTGTGCAAGGGTGTGGCTGAAGTTGACACAGAATTTTTATCGCCAATCGCCTCCAACAACGGCCGATTAACCATTACCGAGTTGGGCATGTGCTCCTCGAAGACCACATCCCTTGTTCCATCCTTACGCTTGACGCCAATACAGTTCGGAAGAGCCAATTCCCGAAAGGTCCTTGGCTCGTTGATGGGTATTGGCTGGCATGAGCCACCCGAACCATCTTTGTAGGCTGGCTACATGGATTTTACAGGGGTGTGATGGAGATAGGTGGATTGCTTTTCATCCATCAGACCAGGTGGTTTGAGGTTTGTCTCACCCCTGTTTTTGAGAATCCTATAATTTTCCTTGTATTGGCCTTTTAACTGCATCGTCCTCACTGGAATGGCCAGGCACTCATCGATGGACATTCCGGCTTCTACCTGGCCGTTGTGTCCATAGATCCAGTACCTAGATAAGAAAAAAAGAAGATAAAACAATAATAAATACATGTATAAAGTACATATATATTTGGGGGATTTATCTCAGCTCCATGACTTCAATCACATTCCAATTACATTGTAATATTGTTGTGAATGATTTGGGAAATTTTCATTTACAATAAACAGTTTATTTAGTTTTGACTGGAGGTGTGCCAAAGAGAGTGGTCTAATTCTTTTTAAGTTGTGAATCTGAAAGGAAGTTGTGGGTCTGATGTAGAGCACTGATTCTCAGTATTACTATTTAGAGAAAAAAAAAAATTTATCTCAGGGAAACATGAATTTGAATATTTGTATATACCAGCGCAAGAGACAAGTGATTTAGTGTGAAAAATCTAACTAATAGTGATATTTTTGTAATCTATCTATAGAAAATACTATGTAGAAAAAACATATTTGTACCTACGACTGACATGAGAGACCAATATTTTTTCACCAGGTCAAACTTTTTTTTCTTGTGGTCAGACATTGTATACATTACTCCCAGTTGACAGTAATTTAATTAACAGGAGTTTAGGAGGCAACTCGCCCTTGAATTGGTCTATATTTTCTTGTTTTTTTAATTTTTTAAAACCAATATTGACTCAGAAAAGAAATCACTTAACTGATTTTGCACTAGCTTCTTGATACGCTTTGCTGGGCGTGGTAGTAGAAAGGTGAAGATGGCTTGGTGCCAATCTGGACCGCTATGTCTCGCTCTCCTGATTGCTTTCGTGATAGCTGGTTAAACCACTCGACCTCCGCTTGGGGGTAGTAAGGAGTGACGCGTCGGTGGTCAACTCCGATTGATTGCAGATTCCTCGACGTCAAAGAAGTTGTCAAGTAGTTACGTGATCATGGGTGTCACGTGTGATAGCTCGCTTGAATTAGCTCATTAATCTAGAATAGGCTACTTATTAACAACCCTGAATAATACTACCAAAGGATTCCAGAAATATTGGTTAACATTCCATTTAATGTAACTCAAATCAAGGAGGATATTACAAATCTCTTTGCTCAAATAGAACACATCATATCATTGTCATTTACAAAATAATAAGTAACTGTAAATAGGATACAGGCATATATGAAGTTTAAACAAATGTTTGTCTTCTCAGAGTTTATTCATGGATCAAAACTATAGTCCCGTAAATTCAAAGTTTATACTTTGATGAAGGTATACGACGATTGCAACGACGAATGAACGTGTGTTGATCAGTGGCGACGGCGAGTGATTGGTAATAAAACAACTTCATAACTATCCTCTTTAAATGACCATAACTATATATGACTGTTTAAGCATATAAAAATGACATAGGTTCACAATGAAGTATAAAAATGTACTTTACTTACAATTCGGCATTGAGAAGAGGGGAAACAGTCTCGGCATGCACTGGGTTGGCACCACACCACGCCCGGTTCCTTTCCTTGGAAACACCCCCCAAAATTGTAACAGACCTCTCTCCAGGATCAAATATGATAGTGAGCTGTCTGCTTGTGCATTTTGACTAGCACACCCTAATGAAAATGTGTTATACAAAGAGTCTGTCGAGTTGTGGCACCAACTTTTTACAAGATGTCACAATTCCTTGGGCGTCGAAACTCCTTATGATAGTCAAAGAGTGACAACACATCAGTATTTTAGGAGTTGCTTTTTTTTTGCTCGATTTAGATGCGTCGTCCTCTCCGTTGCTGTTTCCATTCTATAGAATGCCCTCAAATGTCTGTCGAGATGTGGCACCAACTTTTTACAAGATGTCATAATTCCTTGGGCGTCGAAACTCCTTATGAAAGTCAAAGAGTGACAACACATCAGTATTTTAGGAGTTGCTTTTTCTTTGCTCGATTTAGATGCGTCCTCCTCTCCATTGCTGTTTCCATTCTATAGAATGCCCTCAAATGTCTGTCGAGATGTGGCTCCAACTTTTTCCAAGATGTCATAATTCCTCGGGCGTCGAAACTCCTTATAAAAGTCAAAGAGTGACAACACATCAGTATGTTCAGAGTTGCTTTTTCTTTGCTCGATTTAGATGTGTCCTCCTCTCCATTGCTGTTTCCATTCTATAGAATGCCCTCAAATGTCCGTCGAGATGTGGCACCAACTTTTTAGAGATGTCACAATTCCTCGGGCATTGAAACTCCTTATGAAAGTCAAAGAGTGACAACACATCAGTATGTTCAGAGTTGCTTTTTTTTTGCTCGATTTGGTTTGAATAAATGAGAAAACAGTTACAAAATATGGTCTCTTAATGGCAAAAGCAGTAATTCTGACTTTTTTTCTTTCTATGAATGATCAACAGTTCAATGTGGTTAGCATTAAACTTGGTACATTGGGTATGGAAAAGAGGGATAAATTATGCAATATTATTTTATGGTGGTATGTAACGACAGGTAGCAAATATTATGATGTATGCAATAACAATGGTACGTTTATAAAAATTATGAAGGAGAATTAATAAATGTATTTATTTTTATAATTCAAATAAAAAGCAGTGACTGCCCTTTTTTTTTGTTACCGAAGGATGTGACGCATCTACGCATTTTAATTAATACGTTGGGCACGAGATAAAGAGAGATCGAGTGAGAGAGAGAGAGAATAGCATTGCTGTAAAGACCAGGGCATCGTTTCATAACACCTTCATAAGTAAGAGTTCAACGACATGCCAATGAAGCATGTCTTAAATGTAAATACACTCATTTTAATGGGTTGTTGGCGAACTTGTACTTCTGACGGTTTTGTGATACGCTGCCTATTTTACTTGTCTATTCAAGTTTATGCGTGCTCCATACAACTACAAGATCATTCAAAAAGGGTGTTCGAAGCTAGATTATGTTAGTGGCCCACAACAATGGTATGAAATTCCCAACAATTTTCTACAAACACTAGAGAGAGGGAGGGGGAAAGAGAGAGAGAGGGAAGGGGAGGTGAGAGGGAGAGGGAGGGATGGGAGAGGGAGAGAGAGAGAGAGCATTTCCTGTAAAGACAGTGAAGTTGTGATTAATGTTTATGTGTTCTCCATGAAACTACTTTCAAAATACATGTTGGGAGATCATTCAAAAAGGTTGTTTGAAGCCAGATTATGTTACTGGCAACTATGGTATGAAATTCCCAATAATTTTCTACAAGCACTATTCATTGCTATGTCAGGCAAACATCTGTAAAGTTTTATGTAGCTGACCTGCCAACAACAAATGTATGCAATCTGCATTCTATTAAAATACAGCGACTCAAAACAAACAGAGTTATATATGTTCCTAACTATGAAATTGGGGGGGGGGGGGAATTGTACTCGAGTATGTAGTCATTACAAAAAATGGCTTATTTGTTGTTCTTTTTTTGGCAAGGCAAAAAAATATTTAAGTAAAAGAAAATTCTTGAAAGGGGATGAACAATTATAGCTAAAAAGACTAGTCTATAAATGCATTCAAATTCCTACAGAAGTGATTAACAGTTCCATTTAAACTCCAGTTCTATATAAAACTGTTTTTGAGATGGTTTAGTTCTAAAGTCAGAATCTATTGTTTTAGCTGTTGCTGTGTCTGTCATTAAAAATACCGGTAATACAAAGTTTTGGTATGGGGTCATGAATTTGGTTATGTTGTATAGCTCCCTCTCAAGGTCAAGATATTAATTTAGCTTTAAACCATGTTTCTCGACTAAAATCGACCAATTTGCTATTCCCTTTTGGAAACTATATACCATAAATTGTATGGCCGTAGGCGCTATTTGAAATTTATCAGCACCGTTAAATTTGTATATTTAATTTTTCTTGAAAGCAGAAGTGTCTTAGGAGGTAAATTTTCAAAATTTCCCAAAACTTTGTATTACCTTTAAACTTGATAGAAATGTCCGCATATAAATGTAATACATTTATGCACTAGTCTGTTTAGAAGCTTACGAAAATAAATAATTGAACAAAATGAAATCAGTTTAAACTTTAATTCAAATAAAGTTCATTTATTTCATGTGAAAACTCCATATTTACAGAAGAACCAATAACATCCAAATCTTTGGAAATTATTCAAAATGTCCTTTTTAAAGTACGAACCTTGGCATGCATAAAACAATACACATTAAACATGGATGCATATAAACTGTTGTGAGCCAAGCCCCCAAAACACAATATTCTTTTACAAGTCATGATGAAACAAAATATTATCTGATTGAATACTAGGTGCAATTAAAACAAGACAGGATTACATCCATGTATATTTATTTTACGGTCAAGCTTAATATCTTTAATAAGCTTTTTCAAAATTGAAAATAACAACAAACTTCATCAAATCATAAAAAAGCCAGTTCTCAACCAAGTTCAAATAAAATTACCATTTGATAAATGCTCAGAGTACCGTTATAATAAGATCACCTTCATAAGAAACCTATGAGATCTATTTTTATAGTTATTTTGAACTTTTTTCATTCACACTTCACTATAATCTTTTGAATTGACTACCTACCATGATGAAGCAATTTCTATTAAGTGTGAAGTTTATTTGACTTTTATAGACAAAGAAAAAATGTATTTTTTACATCACATACATAACTTGATATGAATTTTGATGTAAGCTTTTCTCATTTGCACTCTTTAAATCAGATCCAGAAAGGAGCATATTATCAAGAGATTGTGTTGACTTGCACTTGCACTATTAAATTCAAATAAAAAAATTATGCATACTGTATTTGGGGTGTGTTTCACAGCTCTGATAAATGGCACAAATATGATAGGTGCACGCCTAACCAAGACAGAGTTAAGCATACAAAAAAAAATTGTGTAATTGTAACAAAACTTATATTCCTCATTTGATTGAAGATTTTTGCAAAACATCTGTCAGCCATAGTGTCTTTATTAGCAAAAACAGTATAAAATCACTTTATTTTGCGTAAAATATCAAAACCTAAATACTTTCTCATGATGGTGCACTATAAAGCCTGAAAGTTTCACAACATGAAACCTTCCAATTATTGTAAATGACAGCAATTTACAGCAAAATTTCAGTTTTCATGTCCATAGTTTGCATTTTTAAACTTGTACCAATATAATAACCATTATCAGAGTGGTATTCTAGGAAAAAAACACTTTCCTTGTAAAATTGCAAACATATTGTACACGCTAAATATATGAAGCATATTTGTTATATATGGCACAAACATGGAAATAACTGACAGCAATATCATTACAACAAACATTGAAACTATATCAAGATATAACTCGCCATACAGAAATGGAAGGCTTGTAAAAATACTGAGCAGGTTAATGATTAATTCTTCTTCTCTGCCAAACTTGGTCAAATCTAGCGAAATATTACTTTTTCAGCTACAGAAATCCTAGCACCCTCTTGTTAAAGTGTCCCACCTCTTTATAAAAGCTGTCACTTTAAATGTTTCCCCAAAGCGCTGTAGTACCTGTCTATAAAGACCCCCTATCTGTAGTAGCCACTTGTAATGGTACTGCTTTGCATGGGTGGTCTTTATAGACAGGTGTGATCCACATAACGAAAGGTGATTTCTGTCGGAACATATTTCTAAAACTATTTCTAACCATTCATTTTGTAGGGAAAATGGAAGATACTTGAGCTAAGATCAGCTAACATACCATTAAAAAAATACATCATATAACACATACCCTGTTTTCTTTAGGAGTAATTATAACATAAAAAGCCCTATGTGTGATATACCTGCTTTAGTTTGGCAAAACATATCAAATAAAGTATGTAAAAGCTGCATAATTGATAATAAAATGGCTAAACTCAAGTGAATACAAGATTGTTCTTCATTATCATATACTATATCATTTAAAATGGCCATATTAGATTAAATATGTATGGCTCAGTCACAAAAAATATCAACCTCTCTGATGCTTTGAAAAGGCTTAAAAAGGTATACTGTTTTGATGAGAGTAAATCGCTAGAAGTATCAGCAAATTATATTACACCTGTATACACTGATGTAGAGTAAGGTACAATATGCTTATTAAGAAAAAAATTAAAATGACTGAATCTGCCTTTTTTCTTGAAATTAAACTTTAAAAAAGAAAAGAAATTCCTGAGATAAAACTTTGAGTTGACTGTTCATCATTAAAGAAATTTGATATATTATGGAAAATAATTCTCCTTCCTTCCTTCACAAATGCAGAAAATAAATAAAAAATAAAATTGGAGTTTGCTCAAACACGAGGGGAAAACAAAGTAAAACTCAACGATGTAAACTATAGAGGCAAAACACAATATCAAAATGAAAAATGGGAGAAAAAAAAAGGAAACACATTTTGTTTTGGGCCTTGTATTTGTATAAAGATACGGTGCATTTAAGTCACTGTTCACCCTCTACAAGTAGATGAAACACAACCTTTCATGCAAAACAAAAAGAAGAAATGAGGCAATGCCTTTAAGCTAGTGACGTTTACACTATTTGTCGTGAATTTCACAAGCCAGTGTATCAACACACTTCAAGCTATAAGAAGCAATCAGTGATTGATCTGCACTTTACTAGTACACGAATTTCTCACTCGTGAGAAATAAAACACAAAATTAGTCAACTCTTCCAACATCGGGTGAAAACTCTGTACAGTTCCGTTCACACATATGGTTACTTTCCTCAAAAGTCTTTGGCATTCTCATGTGCTCTCACCCTGGAAGCATGATGCATTATGCCTGAGGATTAAACTTGTAGGTAATTGACTGGGAAACGAAGGAGCCCAGGTCTTTTTCATCGCCTGATACCTCAGGTTCGACAGCCGGCCATTAATAGCTTGCCCAATATCGCAGTGCCTAACTCGAGGAAACTTGCAGTAAACCGCATCTGAGAGAAAGAGAGAGAAAGAGGAGGAAGACAGTTGCGACAGGTGGGAGGAAAGAAGAAATGCAACATGGTAATGGTACTGTTGCATTTGATGGCTCGCCTAAACGTTCATCATCTCGCAAAAACTGATTAATTCAAAAAGTAGGAACACAACACCTCTCCTTACACTGTCCTCTAATGCTGAACAAGTGGGTACATTCACACTGATAATTAATTCATCGTTTCCTCAGCGTGCCTGTTTCAGCCTCTTAAGTCGGTTTTCTCGCTTTTGCTCGCGGTATCGGATGCTGGAGAGACGTCCGTTGATGGCCTGGCCGATGTCACAGTACGAGATGTCGGGGAATTTGGTGATGACCGCTTCTGTGGATAGAAGAAGAAAGGAAGAGGGGGAAATAGGATGGAGAAATTGGAGTTAGTGGGATATTGAGAAAGAGGATCCGTATGGATGAAAGGGGTTAGGATTGAATGTACAGGTGGAAGTGATGTGCATAGAGCAATAAGATGGTGCAATGATGATGGTGAAATTGGGTTGAAAATGTAAGATGGTATTTTATGATGATCGAGAAAGCGTTAACAACAAGAAAATGAAAATGCAGAAATATATACATGAAAGGGAGTAAAAAGAAAGGAGGAAAATATGTCATGCAAAGAAAATTTCCATGCAAGATAGATGACAGGCATGCATCAGGTTAAATAATGATGGAAAATTAATAAGAAGAGGATGGAAGAGATGGAAGGAAAGATGGCTTCGAGAAAATTTGTTTAGATTTGTTATCAAGCAGTACACCATATGATGAGGGCAGGCAGGCACCAGCAGGCAGCAAGTGTTAAGGTAGGTAACATGGAAATATCATTCCCATGCATTGATTGAATTAAGATAGCAATGGACAGATGAAGAATGGTAGAAAGAGCAGCACAATATATGTTCGTTAGAGAAAAATAGGTAGGGGTATAAAGCATTAATAGTAAAGAGACAAAAAATAACAAGATAACAAGGAAAGAGTGAGAGAGAGAGAGAGAGAGAGAGAGAGAGAGAAAGAGAACAAAGAGCACAAGAAAAAAGACAAGATTAGCAAGAGAAAGAGGAGAGAAGAGATAGAGAGAAGAGATAGAGAGGGAGAAGGAAGACAAAGAGAAAGATAGAGAGAGAGAGAGAGAGAAAATTGAAAAAGAAGGAAAGGTGAAAGGGTAGATACGGACACCAAGGAAAAATGCATAAAATAACCAGAGGCCCAGAAGTATTTTGGGAAGAAAGCAACAAAAGGAAGAGCAGATTGGTGAGAAAGAAACAGTAAGATAGAAAGAGAAAGAAAATGTGCTTGCATAGAGTAAGGGATGGAAGTAAGAAATATCGGATTGTGAGGTGAGAGAGTGGGAGAGGAGATTGGGAAGAAGAAATATTGCTATTAATATGAAACAAGATAAATGCTTTTCAAAAGTTTGTTCTAATGATAACTTCCGTCATATACATTTCTAACTTATTTTTTATCAAATATGCAAATAAAAGACTGATTATTCTGTAGCCTGTCATTAAAAATCTGATTACTCTAGTATAGCGTTACTGAAGTTATTTCATGTTTAATTATGTCACAAGCCATATGCCTAAATATATTTCTCATAACCATATAACCTCAAGACCATATTTCATAGGGATATTGGTCCATATTCTACTTATTCAGTTAAACCCGGCCCTGTTTAACAAATGGAAAACTTAAAGCCCCACTGCACTACTTATAGCTACTTAACTTGCGCCCTCTATATAGCAAACAATTATTAAGCGGTGACCGTTGGTCTCCCATAGTCCTCTTTTTCTTATTTTAATTGAGAGCAGATTTGATGAGATAACCACTTGTCAGTGACCATGCAGGGAGGTCTAATCCCTCATGGCCAAACTAGTGCAGATAAGACCTCAAACTAGATGCCTTTGTCAAACCTACTTTATACAAAGTCTAAAAACAGCATCAGTTTCAAATTTAAGTAGAATAGGGGCCATTTCCATCACCTTCATAGCAAACAAACAAGTTGATACAGTCAAACCTGCTTTTATAGTGACCACCTGTCTACAAAGACTACCCATCTGCAAAGACCACATTTTTGGTTTCCCTTGAAATAGGTTTCTCATTGAAACAAATAAGGAACCTGTCTATAAAGACCACCTGTCTACAAAGACCACCTGTCTACAAAGACCACTTTCTGTGTTTCCTGTGGGCGGTCACTATAGACAGGTTTGACTGTAGTAATAATCTCCCATTCTCCCTTACACACTTTTTACAAAACATCAACATATGAACAGGTTGATAACTCACTGTAAATGGCATCAACCCTCTTGGGATCTAAGGGATTCTTGGGTTCTGCCGCAGAGTCCCTGGTGCTCTTACCCCCTCGCAGGTTACTATTTAGAAGCGTTTCCATGGAGAAGACGAACGGGAGGAGACGACGAGCGAAGGCGGTGGGTTGGTCCAGCTCGTTCAGGCTATCCCAAGCCTCACGATCGACGAAAACACCACTACCAGGGTGGATCTCGACCTGGTGTACAGATGAATAGCACAGATCACAACTATGAATACTACAGAGTACTCGGTTTGAAGCCGCAATTGAAATACATGTAATTATTACAGTTTACAAAGCACATGCCATTTATTAAACTGTTTTGAATAGTAGTATACCTTAGTTTGGGATAATAATTAAGTCAAACAGTTTACTACTAAGCAATTCCACATACCCCTGCCAACAGATGGGAATACATGCCAGGCTAGCAGATCTACATTTCTAGAAATGTTTTGTAAAGTTTTGCTATTCTAATTTTACTACAACTCCACATCTGAATCAATTTTGTGAACAGCGATAGATAATACATTCTCTATATTTGATTTCTATCATTATTCATTACAAACCTAAAAAGAAAAAAGAAAACTAAAAAAAAATGTATTTGCACCTTTCTGTCAGCCACACAATGGATAACACCACATTTATGTTGCACAATCTGTAATATTTAGCTAATTTTGATGAGTTTTCATCTGTTCTAGGCTTGTTCCAAATTAGCATGCAAAGGCTGACCAAGTCATACATTACACATCACTGATTATGTCATTATTCCTGTTTGATAAGAAAAATATGCCAAATAGCTGAATCTTTTAATAACTACATGTATGATATTGTTCTAATCAAATACCTGGTCAGAGTTTTGAGTTGTTTGTTTTTTGGTGGGAGAAGAAGAGACTATCCTCTCATTTTTGACCAATTTTGTTGGTGACAGGATGACTTTTGGCTTGCCCGAGACCTTCTCGAAATTCACCTTCTGTCTAAACTGTTTATGAATTAAAAACCAAGATATAATTCACTCAGGATGTCTAAATTGCTAATTTACTCAATTTTAAGCTATAGAAATGACACTATATACCTAACTGTTTTACTTTAAAAGCATCCTGAAAAATCTATTCTGTTCTGTTTGGGAATAAACCTCCAAGCTTTACATTAATTGACCTCGTCAGATTGCCAATTTATTGAGATTTCAAAAAATTAATATTGATTATCGGATTTGCAACAACATCCTCCGCTTCATATTCTGTCTAACATGTATTTGAATAAATCAGCAAATAATTAATTTGAATATTACAATCAAATGATTCATCACACATATTCAAGAAAGAAACTGTCAAATTTAACCAAATGTACCAAAAAAAATCTTGGGCTATCGACCTATGATCAAATTGAGGCAACACGTTCAATTCTTTTCTTCTTTTTTTCAATTTTGAATGAAAGTGCACTAAATGATCAATAAATCAAATCCACAATGTGATCTATGAAGTACTCTCAATGTCTTACATTATGTTTAGTGCACAAGAGTTATTCCATAAAAGCAGCAATAATGATGTTAACTTTCCAATCATGTCAAGTTTTTGTTTCATCAAGACAAGATAAACCAACTTTGAATTAAATAGTTTAACTACCCATGTCTTATTTTATGTTTAATAAATTATAATGAACAAGATTTAATCCATAAAAGCAGCAATGATGATGTTAACTTCCCAATCATGTCAAGTTTCCTTTGGATTTCAAAGCCTTCCATCAAGACAAGATAAACCAACCTTTAAAGCCCCACTGCATTACTTGTAGCTACTTCCGCCCTCTATATAGCAAACAATGCCAAAGCGGTACCCGTTGGTCCCCCATGATCCCTTTTTCTTATGTTAATTGAGAGCTGATTTGATGAGATATAACCACCTGTCAGTGACCATGCAGGGAAGTCTAATCCCTCCTGGCCAAACTTGTGCAGATAGGCTTTAAAATAAAGAGTTTAACTACCCATTCAGTAAATACAGTAAGTGTTTTCTTTTAATTTATACACATCTCTACGCGTCTATCCCATTACATTGTAGCATAGCATCCAGACAGAAGAGAGCAGTTCACCGTTTCTAGGAGCAATCACAAAAACATTTACAACCCCTAGCAACCCCGACTTACAATTTCAGCCTCTTTCTTCAAAACTCCCGTCTTCTTGATCTCAACTGGCCGTCTCCGTCCTTTCCCAACGGCACCCTTGGCAACGGGGCGAGACAAGGTCTTCCTCTGGTCCGTCTTCCTATCCTCGTCGTCCATGGAATACCTCACGTTGTTATGGGTGCCGAGAGCTTTCAGAGCTATGGCGTGTACCTTCGGAAGTTCTGAGAAATAGGTGCAAGATTGGAAAGTTATGCTAACTTCATTCTCTCTTTTTTTACAAGTTTATCTCAAAGGAATCATCAAAAGTAGCATTAAAAGTACCAGTAGGCAAAAAATATTGCTTGTAAAAATCATCTCTCATGAAGGAAATATCATCCAAGTTGTACAATTATCACAAACATTGAAACTTGAAGACTTACTCAAAAGTGTATTTTTAATTCAAAACAGCCCAATAGATGATATGGAAAGAACAATAATATACATGGTAGAAGTCCTCTGGAATTACTCCTGAAACTGTAACGGTACATGTATTTATGATTTAAAATATTACATTTCAATTGGTAAAGATTAAATTCTTATAGTCTTACAAACAAATAAAAATTAATTTAAAAAAAAAACTACTGTATGTTTAATATTTTCTTGAAACTGTTGAGGGTTTTTTTCTATTAAAATTATTTTTAAAACAAATTAAAATCACATTCTAACTACATTGTAAAATAACAAATACTTTCCATAACTAATGACTATAAACATGTAATTACAAACATCAAGTATAATGTATTCACCTTTGCAGACTTGATGTCTAAGGAGCATGATCTCATCTCTCAGCCCTCTGACCTCTAACCTTAGCTTCTCAAGCTCAGAGAGTTCATACTCCGGTGGGTACTCCTCTCCTTCGCTTCTCTCTTCTTCCTCCTCCTCTTCCTCCTCATCACCATTCTCCATCTCATCACCATGGGGACAACCATCTGTTCCCATCCCATCTGTAGAATCTATATGGATGAATACCGGTAGTTAAAATGCAGGTTTGATTTACATGTAGATGTATTATACAAATGATGCATGCACATTTATGATACGATCTATCCGCACTCGAGTTGAGGCTGTGTGTATCTATCGCATGAAGCCGTTAGGCTGAGTGTGAAAGATACACACAGCATCAACGAGGGCGGATAGATCATATAATAAACGAATGAAAACATGCATCATTTGTTTTATACAATGAAACTGTTCCGTGAGAGTAAAAAATTTCAAGTTTAATAAGGCTTAATTTAGTGCGCACACATAAATATAGTAAGCGCAGTTAGTGTATAGATACACTAACATTCATCAATATACAGTGTATCAATAAAGAAATGAATTAGAGGTGTGTGGTCGAGTGGATATGTCACTGAACTGTGGATCATAAGGTCTGCGGTTCGAGTCCCGCCATGGCACTAATGTCCTTTGGCAAGACATTAATCTACATTTGCCACTCTCCACCCAGGTGTTAAATAGGTACCTGACCGGAATCAATTCGTTGAAATGCTAGAGCGTTGAATGGCAGCCATGCCAAAGTAAATAAGAGTGCCAGGAGTGTCAAGTCTGACAGATATGAGCGCTATACAAGAACCTATTACCATTATCATTATTATCAACAAATGAACAAATAGTTTGGTTGATAACAAATCAATGTCTTACCTTCTATTTCCCTGTCTGAGGAGGTATCATGGAAAGCCTCTAGGTCCCGCTCCTCTTGGTCCACCTCCGGTTCCTGTTCCTTATCAGTCTGGGTCTGGTCCTCATTAGGAGCCCTCTTCTGTCCAGCTTTTCTTTGGGAAGGAGACGACGACGACACGTCAGACTCCTCAGCTTTCTTGGCTCCTCTCATACGCTTCTTTTGAAGAGAATGCATCAAGATATTTTAGAGGGCTATTAAAAGTCCAGATAATATCTTAGTTGCTAATAAATTGAAACCAACATTTTACAGTTTATCTGACAATTTGACAGACTTTGGACATACCTGAGCTAAATATCAAGAGATACATAACTTCTTTGTAATTTTCATTTCATTCTGTCAATATATTTGTCACATTATATCCCTTTTCTCAATTATTAAGACAGACTTACTTTTTACAAATGAGAAAACTAAAAAAAATCTCAATATGGTTCTTCCCTAATACTGTAGCATGACCACAGCCATGACAGGGGAGTGGCATTTTTGGAAAATACACAGCTATATGTACTTTCTTTACGGCATCACTAATAAGATCATAGCTATAAATTTGTGGTTTTTACTAGATTCCTTCTCCTTTGCCTGAATTTTTTTCTTTCATTTTCCCTTGTCTGCTCTTCAGTCTCTTCTATAATTTCTTTCCACTAAATTTGATTTTCTATTAAAGCCCCACTGCACTACTTATAGCTACTTGCGCCCACTATATAGCAAACAATGACTAATCAGTGACCATTGGTCCCCCATGATCCCCTTTTTCTAATGTTAATCGAGAGCTTATTTGATGAGATAACCACCTGTCAGTGACCATACAGGGAGGTATAAATCCTCCTGGCCAAACTAGTGCAGTGGGGCTTTAAGGCGTAATTTGCATTATATGATATTTTTTTTAAATTATGATTAGTTTACCTTCTCATTCCCACTGGAGCCACCGACATCAGTGTCCGTTTCATCGTCGCTCTCGTACAAGCGTTTCTTAGGGATCCTTCTGCGCTTGCCAGAGACCACCAGCTCGCTCGGATTCTTCTTGGACGTCATGTCGTGAAGCGCTTTCTTCAACTCGGATTCTTTGTCTGTAACAGAAGCATGAAAATGAGAGTGGGAAAAAAAATTATATACTCTACATACATTAAAACCTCTGTAAAAAGACCACTCAATTAGGGGAGGCAAGAAGTTCATGACGTGCAGGTGGTCTTTATATACAGGTTCCTTTAGGACAGGTTTCTTTAGGACAGGTTCCTTCAGGACAGGTTTCTTTAGGACAGGTTTCAATGAGAAACCATATTCAGGGGAAACTGAAAGTGGGTTCTCGCACAGGTTTCATAGTATCTGCATGGCTCATATAGTTTCGTACTAAAAACAACAATCACAAACAATAACGTTAATAATAAATTCACATTTCCTTGTTGTACACATTTGTATCCATTCACTTCCACGGTGTGTATACTTTTCTCTGGCATGTGTCCCAACAAGTAGCTCTGAAAGCCACATTTAAAGTTATTACTGGTATCTTTCTGTTGGCGATTACTGTATGACAATTCTCATTGCATATTGTAATAGTCATATACGTACACGTAATATATGCATTCACTGAAGTAATACAGACACATGAAAATTAACCTTTGTTGAATATTTTTTAATGTAAGCTTCAATATGTCATATTCTCAAGAAACATAAATTGGGAGAACTTAAATAGTCCCAAACTTTAAAAAATTACAAAACTTGGTAAGGGTATGAATAATTTAGTTGTAAACTGTAGGTACAAGTATGTATAGAGACATGTAATCTACAATCGGAATATAATATATACATGTACAGTATAGAGGAAGGGAGTAAGAGATGTAAAATGTTGGTACTGCATACAGAAAGAAGAAACGAGATACAGAGTCTGGACTGTTGTATAAACACAAGAGAAAATGAGAGAGGGAGAGGGGGAAAAAAAAAAGAAAGAAAGAAAGAAAGAAAGAAAGAAAGAAAGAAAGAAAGAAAAAGAAAGCAAAAGGGAGAGAGATTGATTGGAAAGAAATGTTTTGTATGAGGGCAGGCTCCCAGGCTCAAGGAAAAAAAAAGGAAGAAATAATTAGCTATCGTGCAGGTACAATGTATGCATACATGTATGGTACATGTACATGTTGCATGTATAGCGTTGTGAACATTTCCAGGAAATAGAAATCATTTCAGGAAGACAAAAAGAAGGACTTGGGAGAGAGAGAGAAATAGAAAGCATTCAAGAAGACAAAGAGAGGGAATATAGAGAGAGGGGAAAAGCGGGAGAGAGAAAGGGGAGATTGAAGAAGAGTCGTATGAAAGAATGAATACATATTAGAGCAATAAATGACACATACTGGTAGTCATATACACTACATGTACATGAACATGCATGTTGTACATCACTGCCAAAAAATCAGGCATAAAAAAAATTCAGCAAAATTGAAGATATGGTGAATAATAATGAGAAAATTAGAAAGCCATATATTACAGCTGCTTACTACATTATTAAACATAAAACACATGAGCAACCAACATATTATACAAATTACATTAATGTAAGCCATTCACTTACAATGCCATACGTGTAATTAGTTGAGTCTCCATAGACTGATGTAATATGTAGGTGCATGCTCTTCGGAGATCAAACTACATATACTGGTATATCTTTCAAAACAAAGGGCCTAATGAGCTACAAATGTAAAACACATCTAAACATATGTGTTTAATTATTTCCTTTGTGCACATTTTACCACTGAGGGAGAATAATATATCTCGTAATCGCTGTATATGAAACAAATCATATTTATTACCTCTCTTTATCGTCATTGTCAAGTCCATTGCTAATTCCATTGTGTGATATGTTCCTCAACATCACAACTAGCACTAGAAACATGGAGCGCCTAGCCGACTACACGATGCACAGCACAGTATATGCACGTATGTGAAAATCTATCATATCAAAATATGCATACAAATTCATGATGCATCGTACTTCAAGTAAACAGATACTGCACTGTGTCGAGGAGAAAGTATTGCTTCTTCAGACAGCAGCTAAGAAGAATCGTGTGTGCGCACTCCTAGCTCACAAATATATAATGTAGATACATAATCTCCAGCTAGCTAGAAGAAGAGAATATATTCCAGCACACAGACATACACTCACTGCACTATAATTCTTACCCTGCCTGAATATTTAACTGCAAGAGGCAGATATATATAACAGCTCTCTTTTGTCTTGAGCTATTCCAAGACTTCAGGCTGCCCAGCAAAACATGGAAAGTAGTTTGTAAGTTACAATTTTCTCTTCTATTATGCAAATTCAGTCCCAGATGACAGAAAGTTCCCAGGTGTATATAAATGTGTGACATGCATACTTTGCAACACACATGCCTGACTTGGAAATGAACATGTGTACACAATAGAGGATGTACTTGCGTGTAGGGTAATATACAACACACACTGGGGCATTTGTGTGTATTATAACATACATTGTAGGTCATGGTGATATATACTAGCTGCAAGGCATGGGTGGGATATGAGTCAATTTATCCCTTAGAATATCATTAAGTGCTAATTGAACATGCATATAATCTTAGGAAGAATTACAACAAGTCATGATATGAATATATAAGACGCAATGTCATGAAATACATTCTTGTGAGCATACTTGTACTGTATAGGCCTAAACCTAAGCCTATTGGGACTACATGTATACCAGTAAGAAGTAAATATTGACACAAATTATGCAGAACCATAACAAATTACATAGGGAATCATGTTGGGAGTACTGGTAAAATTACATATACTGCGATGTTCATGCAGTGTACATTTTCAACATACATTATTCACAAATATTTATTGATCATTCAATATTCTGAACAGGGCAATTAATGCCATTAAAATATGAATATCATTCATTTTTCAAATCTACAGGTATACATGATGAAAAATAATGCAAATTAATTTTCCCTCTTTCGTACTGTCTACAAACGTCAACCTCTGTGCTCATTTTCATGTATGCAGCTTAATTCAATTAACATAATGGAAGAGGACAGTTTGCTCGACATGTACATCGACTGCTCATAAAAATTGCATCAAATATTCAAATTGGCAATGTCAATGACCAACTTGTACCCCTCCCATTAATTAAAACATCTACATGTAGATCTACAGTACACCCAGTATATTTATAATTTACACAATAAATATAGACGTGGCTGGTACATGTGTAAGTATGTTTGAACCTGCATTTACGATATACAATGCAACCTCTAAAAACAAGGATGGTGTATAAGTTATTAGACAACACATAAACATGTTTCCAATATCTATTGGATAAACCATGAAATTCATCCCCTAAAATCATATTTTCTGTCTTTATTTGAATATTATACTACATGTACATGTTCACAAACTAATAGACATTTAGGAACCCAAAATTAATATACTGTAATATCAAGTTGACAGAAAGAAAGCCACTTTCAACAATTGAAAATACAGTACTAATCACAGCCCGATTCCCCCCCCCCCCACACACACACACACACACACACACACACACACACCCACAAATGGAGTACACTGTACATGTAAACTTTACATGCAGACCTGCACAAACAAGATTACCTAATTGTCTTTGTGAGAAAAAATAAAATTGGTGCAATTTATATCATTTGTTTTAATGTAAAAGTAACAAATCAGTTCAAAAGTAATTCAAAGGTAAACTGATTTTATCTACTAAAATAATTGCTTGGCTTACATTTGTACCTTCTTCTTCTTGTCAAGTACGTACATGTATAATACTAATAATTAATAATAATTGATTCTTATTGAGCGCTGTTACAGACAAACTGACTAACAGAAAAGAAACATACAAATCATAACAATCAAATAAGGAACAGCTAGTAAGTCAGATATTATGAACGAGATGAAATTTAGATACCGGTACTCAAAACATACAGGTACATGTACTGTATACATGTACATTATGGATTCAAGATGGAAAGAGTTGGGTTTTAAGTTTCTTTTTTAAAAGTGTCTTCTGTACTACAAACTGATGTTACGCTAACCCTATGGATTAATTTAATTATTTCACTTAACTTCCTTAATACATACATGTACTACATGTAGACTATGAAGTATGAACAACGTGGGTCTACGAGTATGATATAAAATATGAATTTGTACTTATACTACACAGCATTGTAAATATCAAACATGTTCGCCTACATTTGGATCTATACATGTAACTAAAGAAATCACAATTCATGCAATTGTGTAGACCTCTACTATATGATTTATAATGGAAAAAAGCACTTTCCATGAATGAAGATATTTCAAATTAAAGGACACAGAACAGAAGTGTGAGGCCATAGTTCGGCCCCCAAAATTGCTAGAACTAGACCCTATATGTACATGTATATTCCACTACAATATAGATCTAGAAGAGCAGATCTGGATCCATAATTAGAACTTTAAATTTCTTAATTTCAATGCAAAGGCTGTAAATAGGTTTGAAGTATCACCCTCACTGCATTTATATAGATCTACATGTACACAGTGACTGTTAAAACAGAAATATACAACAGACAATATTACAAAGTCTAGGCACTCAAGATCTAGTCTTGGCCTAAAACTACTCTCTACATTTACAATGTAAGAGCCTAGACTGCAATAATAATCTAGCTACAAATATTGAGACTTGGAGAGTCTAGGTAAAGTTGGACTCTAAAAATTGATCTTCTATAATCTATTCTGATATTCTTTTATTCAGCCTGGCTCAGCATTGAGCCCAACTATTTCAGTCTAAATTTGTGGTATGAATGATCTGCAGATTATTGATCAATCATAAATGTGCTGTCAAATCATTAATAATCCAATTGCAAATTGCATCTAACAAAATTTTAAGAAAGAATCCACATAAATTACAGAGAGTGATAAATAAATGAGGGGCAAACAAGAATGCTGATTATATTTTCGTTAGTCTATGTGAAAAAACTAAAACAAAGCCAAGTAACTTCCTCCAATTAGTTCTATTTTTGTTTGTAAACATTATCCCCAAGATCATGAAGATGAAGATTTGTGGTTGTGGCGCGCTTGAGTAGGCCGTATACACAGTAGACACGTGTGCGCTATGTACAGTGTACTATTATACTGAAGCTCTGGAACAACGTGCGGCATATGTTTCTTTTTAAATTCCAACACTAAAACAGCCATTATATGTTCAATTCACATTCCTGAGCTATGCAATCACACATGTACATTCTAATATATACATAATTAGCTCCAATATTCTTCAAATACACAGTTTTTCACAAACAAACAAGAAAAGACGATTTGTATAAGTATATCTCACCGCTGGTCTGTAGAATTTTAGCTTCGCCCATAGGCCATCCACCGGTCGGAGGCTTTTTCTTCCCCTGTCCCTCTCGCCACTCAATCAAATACATTTCCGGTGTATAACCCAAGATCCACTCGCTATCTACGACGCTATAAGAACCAGCATCAGCTTCATTTGTCCACTCAACTAAGGCATATTTCTTCATCTTTCTAACTCTTAGCTCTAATTGACATGAAAAATACTATAAAGACAATTTCAAACTTTAAGAAAAAGTCGTGGTATTGGTGGTATATTTGTATACACCTTCCGTGTATTATACGTACGTTTGTACGTGCGATAACAATGCGAACTAAAATGTAGTTCGTAAAAAAGTTTCCAACTAGGATCGAGTCAGTATTTTATTTTTAAATGTTTAATCATCAACGACTAATCGGCTATGTATAATTCCTAGTCAAATTCCTTATTATCACCAATAACTACTGTATTTTAAATCCCCTCTATTCCAAAGAAACTATTTCACTCTGAAACGCCCCTGGACTGGAATTCACATTCATCCGCGCGGGGTAATATATTTCTTGCGATATAGTGAAGTGAGAGAAACATATTGGACGACATTATTAAACATATATATCAAAATTTATAGCTTGCGACATGGTTTAGACTATTTTCTACCATTCATATATGAAGCATTATGCATAACAATGTAATATGGGGCCTACTTAAATCATGGTACACATTCAGTTGAACTTGAACGTGTTGGGAAACCTGAGACGCTTTGATCGGAAACCATTGACTATTATAACAACAATATAATACCCATCATTCACGCAAACGAGTACGATACGAGTGAACTTGATGCTTGTGCGACTACTACTAGTATCAGGCTTACATGTAGACAGATTATAGTAGGCATATTTTATTTCCGAAACCATTTTGAAAGAGTTTTGCGGAAGCGTTATACAGATCGACGTATCTTGCACCTATACATGTATATATTAGTATACTCTGTTTCGGTAAGTCTGTTTCTTGAGGAGAATAAAGATAATGCTTATTTATAATGCCCCCTGACAGACTAGGCTTTGAGTTATAGGGGTTCCTCGGTGCAGTCGAATCGTTGAAAATAATTAGGTATAAATGAGGTTTCTGTAAGCCAAGTTTAGACACGTTTCATGATTTGACAGGGAATATTTTGATGTAAACAGTAGGTCATGATGTGATACTAAAATAATCCGAGAGTCATGAACATTTCAGAAGAAAACAATTTTCATACTTAATTTTAAAATCCTTCGTTTAACCCTAGCTCCCTCTCTCTGTCCTCTAACCCTCCCTTTGTCTAGCTCTCTCTTTCTCTTTCTCTCTCCATCCTTTTAGTATCTCTCTCTCTCTCTCTCTCTCTCTCTCTCATTCTCTCTCCTTCTCTCCCCCGCTCTCTCTGTATAATTACCCCTTTAATTCTCTCTAAGTAGATCATATTCTTAGACAGTATTCTTTAAGAATGATCACATTCGCATGATTTTAAGCAATAGATGTATTTGATTTGAAAATGATGCATGATAACTCATGGTTCAGAGAGACAGGCACAATAAGTCCCCTCCATTTCAAGGGGGGGGAGTCGACCTCTAGCTCGAGCCCTTGAGAACTTTTCGCCACGTTGTTCAATATATATTTTAATTAATTCCTATATAAATTACATGTACTTTCTTTCTGGTAAACTCTTAGAATTTTTTTTCTTCATAAATTCAGTACCCTTTCAACGGAGAAAGCCTTTTGTAAACCATCAAAGATTAAAGCATTTTGATCTATACATTGTCAAAACATGCAGGTTATGAAGGCATTATAGTTATAATCATCGGTGATTTTATTTATCTTTCTTTCATAACACACATTACAAATATGACATGAATATAACAAATGAACAGAATCTGGCGTAACAATAGAAAGATGAGTTGACCTTGCTTGAAAGCAAGCTTGTGGATTTAAGGTCCCTCTTGAGTAGCTTATGAGTATGTCCTAAAAGAACAAACTCGTCAGATAAGAATAATGGGTACATTTAAATGCTTACAAACTAAACTAACTTAACAACTGAGAAAATATAAACATAAATAAGTATAATAAAATCTACTGACTACTAAATAATGGCTATAAACAAGAGGAAACAGGAATATACTATACAAGCAACATCACAGACAAAAACTAAACAAGACAGACAGATGATATGATTTATCAGGGGGAAATGGTAAAATATGTGGTGATGATAATTAATTTTGTTTTAATATGATACATCTCATCGAATCATTCTCCCAATACAATTCGAAGAGAGAATGCAAGGGCGCCAGCTGTATTTCACGGTAGTTGTTAGATATTGTATGTATTATTTTTTTAATTTCCAGGTCAAACGAGCGTGGTAAAAAAAAACCATTTTCCTCTTTTGCCGATTGTCTTTTATTACAACTTTCATCCCATAAGTTTATTCAGTGGCATAGCCAGGACCTTTCTTTTTGTTGGATGAGGGGGGGGGGAGTTGCAGGACAAAAAAGTGGAGGAGCTTTATCATGTTATTATTGTATAACTCACTGTATACTTATTGTTATTTTTATGTTTGTGGACCCCTTCGAAAATCAGCTGTGCTGAAAGGGCCATCCACCCTATGAGAGGAAATAAATAAATAAAAATTAAATAAATAAAATGTGAACCGAGGGCCTGATTTCTATGGGAAACATGCAAAACAAACAAAAACGTTATTATGCACTTCTTTCTTTCTCGCTTTTTCCGTCCTTCTTTATTTATTCTTCTTTCTGTAAAGTTATATCCTTGTAATGTGTTTTAAAAAATTAAAATTAAAAAATTAGAAAAATCCAAGCAAAACTACGATCTGCTTCCAATCAACCCGACACTTTTTTACTATACAAATTAAAAAACAATATTTTTTGTACTGTTGTGCTCTATACAATGTGCCCCATCACTACCATCATCAAGACATCAGTGGACTCATGTAGCCCGACACCCAGAGGCATATCTATACGGGGCATGGGGAGGTACGTCCTTTTATCCCCTCACCAAAGAATAGCGAAAAGAGAAGAGAATAGAAAGGAAGAGAATAGAGAGGGAGAGAGACAGGGACAGAGGAAGAGAGGGAGAAAGAGAGAGAGAGAGAGAAAGAGAGAGAGAGAAAGAAAGAGAGGGCAGGGGGAGGAGAAAGGGGGGGTAACGTGAAAAGAAGTTGTTATTAAAGACCCCCCCCCACACACACACACACACACACACACACACTTTCACCACGAGATACTAGCCTCGCTCTCTCGCCTTTCATTTACCGAGTAAGCTCAGAGCGCCCCCACCCCTCCCCAACCATATTACACCACCAGCACCACCATCGTGCCCCCTCAAAATGATGGTCCCATGCTACGCAACTGTTGATCACACTCATGGTTCCATGTACAGTAATATTATATTCAAGTCATGTATGATATTACTATCTCCATGCGATGTCCAGCATGAATTGTGTTGACTGTTGTGTGTCCCCCCTGCGATTCTCCACAGTCGTGACAGTGAATGCAGTCTGTCAAATCGAGACGTTGAAAGTGATGAGTAAACGGGAAGGGGGCGGGGAGACCCTAGGTACCCCTCTCTATCACCCCTGCACGTAAACCTGCATCACGTGGGGATATTATTACAAACTGACCCGGATGAGCAGAGGAGTTAGCTTGATATATTCATATACATTTATCCATAATATCAAAGAAGCCAAGATATTTATTCGTTACGATGATTGGTCTAATCGTTTTGAAAGATACACGTAGGTATCAACATTCTTGTACGTTTTCTCACAATGTCAGAGCACCTCACTTTCAATTGTTTGATCAAAATATATATGGGCAAGTATTTTCATATTCTGTTAATCTTAAATGAATAGTCATGTTGAATTGCATCATAATAATGTGATTATTAGTTTTACCAGGGGCATGTCTCTGGTTTTACAAAAATGTCTTGCAGATGTTAAAAATAAATTTAAAAAAGGAGGAGCGAACAAGAACAAGAAAAGATCAATGATGGTGATATGGAGGATAAGGGGGAGGAGGAAGAAAAAATAAATAAATTAGTCATGATGTTGCCTTCAGATGATACAATGAGATAATAATGATATGGTTACTGTAATAGTTCTTATTATGCAGCTAGTCAAGGCGAAAGCAAACATAATACTAATTCATTTAGACAAATAGAATCGCTGTCTTGCTTGCAAGAGTTCAGTTTCCCTAGAATATTGGAAAATTCCAACTTTTTTGTAATACATTTTTTTCCAACTGATTTTCGTTATTATACACTTAATATTGTGTCCTTTATTGTGGAGCAGTGGTTCATTCACTGGACTCTCAATCCAATGGTTGAGGATTCGAATCACAGCACGGCACTTACATCCTTTGGCAAGACATGAATCCACATTTGCCACTCTCCACCCAGGTGTAAATTGGTACCTGGCATTTCTTGGAGTAATAATCACTGTGGAAGAACAGCTGTATGAAATGCTGATGAGGCACCCCTGGGTTAACACAATTATCATTATTATCATAAATATTACTATTATTATTATCATTATTAATAATATTATTATTATTATTATTGTTATTATTATTATCATCATTTTTATCGTTATTATTGTCTTATCCAGTTTCAAAATATATTTCAGTAACGAGATCTATACTCAATTTAAAATCGTAAAAACGCTATGTAAAATACAGACATTTACTATATAGTGAAAGTGGAGTGAACGTTACTACATTGTACTTCATGAGTCATCTCGTCACCATTTTGATTTATGCATCACATGGACCATGTAAAAAAATCACGTGGAATTTGATCAGTGGATAATTTCCTATACATTTTCAACCTTGACTTACGAAAATAGAAGTTGAGCCCCCTCTTTTGATTTTGTAGCTCGGGGCACCCCGGTGTTCATATCACATGAATCCAATGTTTAGAAATGCCCCTGTCATTATCATCAATATCATTGATATAATAATCACGAGCCGTCGAAGTTGAACGAAAATAGCTCCGAGAGTGGGGCTTTGTCGTGGGAAAGTTGATGGATTGGAATCTTCTTTTTATTGGCCTAAATGATTTTGACATGAAGTGATGTTAAACAACTGTGACATACTGATTTTGTAGAGAGTTGGAAAGATTGATTACTGCTCTCGAATACGAATTTTCAAGTTGACGTGCAGTCTCACTCTCTGTTCTTTCGCCATCAGTATAATGGTGCAGTGCAGGCCTTTATTTCCACATTTATTAACGTGCCTTGTAAAATTAATTCGCGAAACTTTGAATCAAACCTAGTTCTTAGTAATGAGCCTAGACTCGGTCGTAACCCTCGGGTCTCTCCTCCTGGTATAAGATTTGATTGGGATGGGCAGGTGTACCATTACACCGGGGTTTCCCCCTTTTTTTTTGCCGCGATCATAGTTCAGTGGGTTCTTAACATCCACTCGAGGCCAACATTTAACGTCCTATCCGAGAGACGGGGTGTTTTATTTTTTCTGTAAGCTGGCCTGCGACTATGGAGCAGGGGCGGCGTACGCACGAAATCACATAATGTACACGTTTCGGTTTAATAAATTTTGGAGTGGACTTATTAGGCTATTATTATTATTATTATTATTATTATTACTATTATTACATAATGATCAATCAAGGTATAGCCCATTCTTTGCGAATAAAACACTTAACAAAATCGTTCTCATAGAATGAAGCTTTTACAAGGTGTGTCTGACAAACAACCGATACCGTATTACCAAGTAGAAATGTCAATGAGTGATTGTCATGCGCTTGACGTATCTAGCATCAGTGGCGAATCCAGCCGGCGGGAAGAGGGGGGGGGGGGGGGGCCCAATCCGTGAGAAAATATTAGTTGCGACTCAGCCACCGGTGAATAAGCGGGGGGGGGGGGGGGGGGGGGGTAGGAGGAACTTTTTTTTGGTCCAATTTTTCAGGAATTTTTTGGGGCCGACTCAGTCAGCCGGTGAATAAGCGGGGGGGGGGGGGGTGAGACCACTATTTTTGTTTTTTCCACCTAATTCGTGAGAATTTTTTTTTTTTAATTCTTTTTTTGTTGACCCGTCAGCTCCCCCCCCCCCCCCCGTGGATCTGAGCCTGCAGAGGATCCATACGGCGTCAAGGGAGGGGGGTAGCCAAATCTTAATACAAAATTTAGTGCCGACTTAGCCGGCCGGCGAATAAGCGGGGGGGGGGGGCGCTTTTGTTTTTTGTTTTTATAAAGGTTAACTTTACGTTATTATCCTATTTTTTTATCGTTTTGAGGGGCTAGGGGGGGGGCCGGGCCGGAATAATCGCTACGTGGATCCGCCCCTGTCTAGCATTTATATGCACCCCACCCCACCCCCTCTCCCCGTTTGAATGGCTAGATTGTAGTGTAATTTTATCGAGTTTCAGAGCCTAATCCAGACGACAGGAGTTTGAATTGGATCATCATGACTTCGTTCTTCGAGTGCTTCTAATTTTAGTTGAGTGACCCTGGTCAATACGCCTATGACTCTTTATCTCAATCCCGCCTTTTTCTTTCCCTTTTCTTCCCCTTTCGCAGTGTTGCGTTTTCTTTCTTTCTCCCTCTTTCTGACATACCATATACCATGAACATTAGCAACAACAATTATGAATGGCAGATTCGAACAGAAAAATAAACAAGAACCCATCGCCCACCAAATCCAGGTGTTGAAACCTATGCAGGTTAAACCGCCCCCCCCCCCCCCTCCTTTCCCAACTTTTTTCTCACCCCTGGTTTAGCCTGAGGTACTCTTGACCAATCAGAACACAGGATTTGATCGGCTGCGCTCCAGAGTGAGTAAATCGTACGTGGTATGTGAGTCATCGCCAGCGAGAGAGAGAATCCCATCGGGTTGCCGATTCTTGTCCGGGGCCTGCTTGGCGGGAAACGGATCGTTACCTCGTTAAAAAGTATCTAATTTTCTTGTGCGGGTTCGTAATAAACTGACGTAGCAGATCAGATCTGAGCCCTGGCAAGAAGTGTAGAGCACATGGACAGCTTTTGACATTGCCCCCACAAGGCAGACTACAGCAGGCTGCAACTATTCAACCTTTTATTATGCGTTCATGAGTCGGTCGCGTGAGACGTCGCAAGTTCAACCTCGCGTTGTTCAGTGCGATACGAGTTGCCAAGCTATCGACAACTATTTTGAGTGAACTTCATCACAACAGTGTGTTTCTACTAGATGGCCAACCTATGATTTCTCGGAGTGTCGTAGGAAGTTTATATTTCGGACAAGCATAATTTCAGTTGGCAAACATAAGAAAGACACCACGGCTTAAATCTTTTGATGAAACGAATTCCAGTAAAACATCGAAAGACGTAACTTAGCTGGACATTTTACTTCTCATCTGTCGAACTTTGGCTGTAACGTGTTTCGTATGCAGACGTTTTTTACATTTTAAATTTTTACATTGCATGAATTCTCTGAAGGACTTTGAAAGGATTAATCTTCAAGAGCAGGAGTTCATTTCGCACGACAATATTATAGTGGGACGGCGATAAAACTTCGAACTTTCTACAAAGTTTACTTTGAGATTGCAGCTCTGACTGTTATAAACTTATTAAGTTCTCTTTAGTAGAGCTTAGTATTCACCTTTCCTGAGTCGAGATTTGGATGGTACTTCAGAAAGATGATTACTGCTGCTATGACAACCAGGCAGGGTGAGTTTTCAAAATCAATTTAAGATAAAAAAAAAATAATAATAGTTTGAGCTTTTTTTCGACACATCAAAAAATAGGACGCATTGGCGTTAACTATTCATACAAATATATATCATTATAATAATCATGTGTATCTATAGGTTTCTTTTATCATATCAAAAGTTTATACTTATTATACAGACGTATTTATTGAATACAAATACATTTTTCCTTAAAGTTAAACGGGATGCAATGCTCGGTGCGTAATATATTTTCCGCCAAATGTTGCAGTCATTGTATTCACCCATCTAATGTAGCATGTAAACTAACTTGTTCTGTGGCCTATACATTAAAACTCATGATCGCTATTAATTATATACAACATTCATGTTACTCAAAGCTATGTTTCCTTGTGTCTTTCTCAAAACAAACACGTATTCACTGCCTTAACATGCAGAATCAAAGGATCTCCTGTTTATCCATTATAGTTAGATGGCTACAATGTCAATATGAAAACAAAAATAAGGAACCAAATTTTTATCATTGTGTTCAGTACATAAATAACTAATATTACTTTTATTTCCTTGTTCGCTTGGAGATATATTTACATGTATGTTAGGGTATTATCATGCTGTTGTGTATTTATAGCTGGAGCTAAGTTTCTTGTGATCCTTGCACACGAGGCGTCATAATTATGCCTGACGTAAGGCTGCGTCAGTGTCTATTAAGATTTCTTACTATGACGCAACATGAGAGGGCGTCATCGTATCGAAACAATTGCAAAATGCAGAGTGCTCACACTGCGTTGAGTTACTGGCGCATGGACAATTTGCATTGACGGCCGGACTTGATTGACGCAGGTAATAGCGTAATTGAAATGATACCTCTCGTGCTCCTGGCATCATTCTTTTTTTCTTTCTTTATTACATAACTTGGCAATTTCGTGTTCAGACGGTCATTGTGCATGATAGGGATAATGACTAATTAAGTGTCCGTTTTAGCACTGCAATTTCCTATAGACAGCTGTATCCGCATACACATTCAACCAGTGATACTGTTAGTATAACTTATGTATAAGGGGGTCAATACTGCACCCAATCCCTTGACTCTTGTTGAGTAACTTGAAATTTATCACGATTTTGCGCACCTATGCCAAATTAATCAGGAATGACTTTGGCCCTCGTTTGGCAGCGGTTTCATTCGCGTCCAAATGAGGAAATGCGGGGCAGTTTAGTTGGCCTTGTATTTAATGTATGCAGATCTCGGAGGATTGGGGAGGGGCGGGGATAGAGAGAAGAGAGAAGGGGTGTTTTGAGAAAGTAAGAGAAAGATAGAGAGACCGAGAGACAAAATGACAGACATAGACAGACATGGAGAGAGGGGGAGGGGGGCGAAGTATATTAAAAATGGGAGAGACGGATCAGAGAGAAAGAGTAGAAGGACGAGGGAAACGAATAGTAACTGTTCATGATACCATACTTTGCGCATAAAATAATAAAGAACAAAATAGTTTCCCGTTAATATAACTTTGATTACAAAACTTTTCCCCTTTCGCGGTATGAATTGAATTGAAGATGCATGAAAGTCTGATATCAACGCTTTTGTACATTCTCTTCACTTCTTCCATAACGTTCTTAAAAGAAATTAATCACAGGACCGAACATTGAACAAAACAATTTTTTTTTAAAGATCTATTGCACAGAATTTTCCTTGAATCAATTAGTGGACTACGTGATTCATTTTGCCATTCCCAAAAGAGGGTCATTTTTTCTTATCATTTCCATCGCCCTTAAAAGGGGCTTGACCGCAAAGGATGATCACAATATTGATGATTCGTCTGTCAAATCACCATCCTCGGGCTATATCTATTGTAAAAATCAATTAAACTGAGAAATATGACTCGCATATCTCGTATTTCCGGTTTTAGAGGAAATATGGGGATTCAAGATTCAAGATTCAATTGGAATTGTGGAGAACAATACGTAGAATTAAGGAATTTGGCAACAGATGATTTTTAAAAAATCTATCAATGCAATTAAGTATCCTAAGTGATATCTAATTATGATAATGGCAGTTGGGTATCCAGCACAAGGTTGAAGTTGGCTAACGCCCCCCCCCCTCCCTCCTCACCCTCCTCCCCGGTCCCGTTTGAAGGCCAAGGTAAATGCTAGGCACGTCGCTTCCAATATGGTCTATAGCGCCCCTCCCTAATGTGTTTGGGAGGGTTCAGTCCGCCCATGTTCATTAACATTGCTTGATACGCCGCTTAAACATTGTGCTTTCTCAATGAATATGATTTTGATTGTCGTTGCATACACTTCATACATAATATACAAATATCATTGTAAATTTTATACCATTATGCTTGTAAGTTGTCAATGTCATGTTCGTGATACAAAACGTAGCAGATAACATGGCCATTTGAAGAACTCTATCGCAGGTCCGAATGATCAGTACAGGCAACAGCTGCTCCTTAGATTGGCCACTTGCCAAGGTTAAGAAAATGATTGCTTGTTTCAATCATTCCCTTGATCAATGTTACAAGTGTCAGGTTTTATCGGCCTATTGACTAAAATGGCGGTGTTTAGGCCTAGGCCATTTCATGCTCAAGACTATTGGTTAGTTATTACATTGGAGCAAAATGTTGAAACAAAGCATTATTCAAATCCTCTGTTAAGTCCAGGACAAATTCATGAAGTCGTGTTTTCGTGTAATATATTTATGTCCAATTCGTTCACTTGTTTATTCTTTTCCATCGGCACCCGATTCGAATTCTTTGAACTTGTCACAAGAAATATCCTTGAATGATTACCAAGACCTATGATTAGCCAATCATTGTGGACGGTATACAATGCGGATGTCATTATCAAGGAAAATGCAGATACAGAGATGAAATAAATCATTTCGGGCTTGACCTTCAGTAATTATGAAAGTCCTAGAGTCTTTATCATTTCATGAGCAAGAACTAGAGTTGAAGAATTGGTAATATAATCATACTATAACTTTGGATGGTTAACCATCAACTTTGGAAACCTTTAAAAAAATTCTCAATCATAATTATAGCCGAATGCAGCTACATGTCTAATGCAAAATTCAGTATAAAAATAATTTGATAATTAAAAGATAACCAAAATGATGACGTAATTGTTAACTTTGTTGATAATGTATCGCATAAGCCTATATTTCTTTATGCGCTTTTAATCAAGGTCCGATATGAACAGAAAACGGGTCTGAACATCCCTCGTGTGCGTAATCCAATATATAAATATAGCTTCAAGAGTACGGCATTAGCTCTGTCAAACTATAATAATAATTTAAACTGTATACATTCAATGGGAATAAATCGAGAACGATCTAAAGCGGAACAGTGATTCATATGTTACGTCATCAGTGACGAAACAAGGCTGTTTTGATGAATCCTTGTTTTTAATCAATCTAAATCTAAATTACTCATTTTATCAATATTTTGCTATATTTCATTACAGCAATGACGGAACAGATTTGGTTTACGTAAGAGAATTATCTAACAGTATGTGGTACAAATGAATATCAGTAAGATTTCGAGAACGAATTAAAGGTCATTGCTATGAGAAATGACATTAAGCTCTTGGCAAGACATTAATCTGGCCTTGCCACTCCTCACCCATGAGACATAGGAACCTGTAGGGACACAGAAAGTCGTTGTGATTGCCAATATGACACTCGGTGTGCATGCGAATGACCTGACATGCATTTTGAAATGTTATCAAACATGTTATGAAAGCTCACCCGTTCACCGTACGTTTTGGGGTTTCTATAATGTCAGGCCAACGTTAGTTGGAAAAAGAGGAGAATAATGGAAACAAAACTTAAGAGCCAAATTCGCTCCTCTCATTTCTTTGTTAAGATGATTTATTATGCTACTACGGTACTACTCCTAAAAGAAAATTAAAATTTGCGTTGATAGATGAATACGCCTAGTTTTTCATATGTAATTTCAAACAGCTCCCGAAAGATTTATTCCATAGATCAAAAAATTATGATCGACATTAGGAGGAGGAGGAGCACCTTTTACAAGCGACCACTCGTATGTGCTCTCTCAATTTCTTTTAATTTAAGTGTCTTTTTGTGATCTTCGTGATTTAATATTTACACCAGTGGAAGAAGTTTACACCTGGAAGCTACCCTTTTTTTATCGCTTAGAGACATCGGTGGTAGGCGCTTTATAAACACCGTTTTTATTGTTATTAATCATTTATTATTTACCTTGTAAACTTTCTAAAAACTAAAAAAGCCGTAAGAGATTTTCCTTTCGGCACAAACTTTAGCTCCAACACTCGATTGACCTCTGCTGACTACGAGGTCACCATGACTAATCCTGATTGAAAAAATATAAAAAGAAGAAGTATACAGGGGCCAAGGCAACCCCTGGGATGGATTTTCCCTAACTTTGTTAAAAATAAGTTGATTTAAACTGAAAATAGAAGTCAAGTACACGCTTGTTATGACTCACATGCATGAGCCATTGTCTGTATTTATGGAAAGAAATTGTCTGATTTTCAGGTAAGGTCGGTGCGATAACTGATGTAATCATACTTCACGGCAGACCTCGAAATGACGTCTAAAGGGGGCGGGGGGGGGGGGGGAGACAATTGCCTCGGAGGATAAAGAGGTCGGTGTAGCTCAGTGGTTGTAGCGATGGTCTCCCAGGGTTCAAGACTAAATCAGTGTGTGGCCGGGTACTGATCATCAATGATTTTAGAGCGAAGAGGGATTTCGGGTTTGGGCTTTAAGCACTGGTAACGCACATGACATTGTTCTCATCTATTAGGTGGCACGGGGGGGGGGCGGACACCCCTGTCCCATCGGACGGCGAACAAATAGTAAGATTTTTTAAAAGGGGAAAATGGCCTTGCTAATTTGTATTTCATCATCCCGAATGAACGGTGCCCCTCAGCCCCTCAATAATGCCAGAGACCCCCCCCCCCCTCCTTAATGACTTCTACGCCACTGTTCGTGTATCTGTAGCCCATTCCTGACCC